GGGCTGCCAGGAGGTGGGAGGCAATGGTTGGGGGCCCAGGATACCTGGCTAGGAGTCTGGGATTCACACATAAAGTGCCAGAAAAATCCTTGAGCTGGAGAAAGGCAGGATGTGCTCTAGGGCACAGGTGGCAAACACAAGGCCTGCAAGCTGAATCCGGCCCTCCACCTTGTTTTATCCCGCCTGGCGCCTTGTCTCTACCCGGCAGCAGCACCGAGCTCCTTGCCCCTAGTTAAGGAGGAGTTACATTTATACAGTCCTCCAATTACATCCGGCCCTTTGAAAGCTACTGTGAGGTTGATGTGGCCCCTGGTGAAAATGAGTTTGACACCCCTGCTCTAGGATATTTCAGGATTGGGGCTGAGTCTACCGGGACAGTGCCGAAGAAGAGGTTTTAGCTTTTGTGTAGCCAGCATATCTGGGTTCAAATCCCAGTTTTGCCACTTATTAGCCAAACAACCCTGACCAAGTTACTTCACATTCTGCACTTCGGTTTTCTCCTCTGTAAAGGAAGGAAAAAGAGGTGATAAACACAGGGTTGTTGAAAGTAATGAAGCAATACTAATCCTCATATTATTGGAACCCGAGAGATCAAGTGTGGTCTTGAGCAAATTACTTAACTCCTTTGAGCCTCAGTTTCCTCCTCCATGAAATGGGGGAGGATAATAGTGCCCACATCAAAGGACTGAGATGAGGATGTAATAAGGCAAGGCGTGTTCCACGTGCTTGGCACCACACCTGGTACAGAATAGGAGCTCAGTAAGTCTGTGCCGAGCTGATCCTCATAGCTGGGCTGCAGGACAATCAGCCTGAGGGTGCAGAAAACACGGGGTGGGAGTGGGGGTGGGGGTGGGGGTGGGGGTGGGGGTGGGGGGCTCTGTGATGAAGCTGAGATCGTGGTCTGGAGGGGGACGGAGGGAGGGCAAGGACAGGAATTTGATGGTTTGAGGAGAGGACCAGGAGAAAGGAAGGAGGGCTGGGTGAGACGGGGGTGAGAGGCACCTGGACCAGGGAAGAGGGAGGACTGGGGAGGCCTCTGGGTTTGAGCCCATTTGTCATGGAGAAGCCAGAAATGTGAGCAGAACTGCCGCCAGGCATGCAGACAGGTTTGGCAAGAACTGGGAGGGTGGGAGTTCGTCGTTGGGCTCTGAATGAGAGGGAAACACGCTCAGAATCTTTAGCAATAGAACTAGAGGTGACTTAGGTGTTTTTCTTCAGGCTTTTAAAGTATTTTCTAACTTAAAAAAATAGATGTGTATTATTTGTATATTTGTTAAAATGTGTAGCCTGTGCCTTCCTATTTAAATCAGATTCATTTAAGTAGAGAAAATAACTCATAGGAGTCTAAAGTTAAGAGATATAAGTTTTTTTTTTCAGTGAAAATTGTCCCTCTTCTACCACTATTTCCCAGCCAATCAGTTCTTCTGAAAACAGCCAATGTTACTAGCTCCTTGTATATTTTTCCAAAGATATTCTGTGTCTAGTCTAGGATGTATTACTTCATCATAAAACATTCTGTGGATTAAAACAAAAAGACTGAAGCGCATGTGCAACAAAAGAAAAATTGGACTTCGTGAAAGTTAAAAGCTTTTGCGCATCAGAATGTAGTAGGAATAGAGAAAAAATGCAACCCAGAGCATGGGAGAAGTGCTTGCAAGTCATACATCTGATGACAGAGTAGTATCCAGAATAAACAGAGAACTCCTAAAATTCCATAACAAAAAACCCCAAACAACTCCATTCAAAAAATGGGCAAAGGACTTGAATAGACATCGCTCGAAGAAAGGTATACAAATGGCCGATACGCACGTGAGAAGATGCTCAACATCAATAACCATTACGGAAATGCCAGTGAAAACCACAGTGAGATACCCCTTCATACCAACTGGGATGGGTGCTGTCAAAAGCAGAACGAAACAAAGCCCCCAAAGACAAGTGTTGGTGAGGATTTGGAGAAAGTGAAATCCTTGGGCACTGTTAGTGAGAAGGTAAAATGGTTACAGCTGCTATGGAAAACAATATGGTGGTTTCTCAAAAAAATTAAAACTGGAATTGCTGTCTGACCCAGCACTTCCACCTGTCGGTATACACCCCAAAGAAGTGAAAGCCAAGTCTCGAAGAGGTATTTGTACACCATGTTCATAGTGGCTTTATTTGTAACAGCTACAACACGGAAGCAACATAAGCGTCCGTAAATGGGTGAACGGATAAGCAAACTGTGGTGTGTTGTACAATGAAATATTATTCAGCATTAGAAAAGAAGGACATTTTTACATATGCTACTAACCACATGGACAAATCTTTTTTTTAAGATTTTATTTATTTATTTTTAGAGAGGGAAGGGAGGGAGAAAGAGAGAGAGAGAAACATCAATGTGCGGTTGCTGGGGGTCATGGCCTGCAACCCAGGCATGTACCCTGACTGGGAATCCAACCTGTGACGCTTTGGTTCGCAGCCCTCGCTCAATCCACTGAGCAACACCAGCCAGGGCCAATTCAGTGTTTTTTAAAGTGTATTCGCAGCATTGTGTAATCATCCCCATGATCTAAACTCAGAACACTTTCATTGCCTCATAAATACTCTTTATACCCATTAGCAGTAACTTCCCATTTTTTCCTCTCCCCAGCCTCTGGCAACCACAAATCTATATTCTGTCTCTATAGATTTGCCTATTCTGGACATTTCATGTATATAAAATTGTGCAGCAAGTGGCCTTTTATGACTGGCTCCTTTCACTTAGCGTGTTTTTAAAGGTCATCCATGTTGTAGTCCGTATTAGTAGTTCGTTCCTTTATATTGCTGAACAATGTTCCATTGCATGGATTTGCCACATTTTGTTTATCCATCCATTCAGCACTTCACGGACATTTGAGTCATCCTGTTGTTCCCATGTAACACTAGTTTGTTCTTTTGTATTTCTGTGTAGTAGTCAATTGCATGGACATAATCAGCTTCTCCATTTTACCATTTATAGATGTTTCTCCTAATTTTTGGCCATGTGAAGCTGCCATGAACATTTTGGTACATGCCTTTGTTGGGCCTACACACTCATGTCTGTTGTGTATTACTCAAGAGCAGAATCGCTGGATCACAGGGCGCACATGTACATTCGACTTCAGCAGGTGCAGCCAAATACTTTCCCAGAGCAGTTTAGGAACATACACTCCCACAAGCAATGTATGACAGTTCCAGTAGCTTCCCAGCCTTACTGACACCTGGTATCTTAAGTTTAGTCACTCTGATGGGGGATTGATGGTGCTGTCTCATTGTGGTTTTAATTTGCATTCTGTGATAGCTAATGATATCTAGCACCTTTTTCATTCGCTTAATGGCTAATTAGATGTTCTATTTTATACAGTGTTCATTCAAATCCTTGCCCATTGGAAAAAAATCACATTGTCTGTTGTCTTCTTAGTGATGTTTTTGATAAATTCTGGATACATGTCCTTTGTTATATCTATGTATTACAAATGTTTTCTCCCAGTCTATGGTTTGATTTTTCACTTGCTTTCACATATGTGTCTTTGATGAAAAGCACTTCTTAATTTTAGTCAAGTTCAATCTTTTATGGTTTATACTTTTGGGGTCTTTTTTGAGAAATTTGTGTCTACTTTAAGGTCATGAAAATATTCCCCTAAGCTTTCTTCTAGAAGTTTTATTGTTTGCTTTCCACATTTATGTTTCTGATTCATCCTAAACTATTTCTATCAATGGTAGGAAGGTCAAGATTCATGTTTCCACATATGGATCTAACCCTAACCCTAACCTTGACCCTAACCATTGACCTAGCACTGTTTGTTTTCTTATGGACCGAGAAAAGCTTTTTAATATATTGTTAATAGTAATTCTTTGTTACAGCGTTGCAAAATCTTTTTCCCAGTTTTCTTTTACCTTTAGATCATAAACTTTTTTTCTGAAGTTCATTTGGAAGAGTAGTTTAGTTGTGATAGGAAGAACATTCTAAATGGAAAAGTAATGAAAAGGTTGCCCTTTTAGATATAAAATGTATTGAAAAAAACTACCAACATTGAAGTATCGTGGAACACACAGGAAGATCAATGGATACCACTCAGAAACAGATGCACACATGTAAGAGTTAGGTAGGTGATGAAGGTGGTACCTGAAATCAGTGGAAGAAATGATGTACCGGCTGTTACAAAAATTACATTTGATTTCTTCCTCCGAAAACTACATAAATTCCAGATGGATTAAAAGACAAGCAGAAAAAAAACAACAACTTCAAATCAAGAAAACATTTTGTAACAAACACCTAAAAGGGAAATGTGCGAATTAACATGTAGAGCCAGAGAGGCTTGGAAGGGCATTCCAGGCAGAGGGAACCCGGCTGGAGCAAATGTCTCGAGGCTGAAAGAAGGAAGGCAGGTGTGCCCAGTCTATGGAGGAGACGCGCAGGAGTCGAACTCAGGGCGCCCACAAGGAGTCCGGGGCCGGGTCCTGGTCCGCCCCACAGCCATCATAATTATGTAAAATAGTACTTTTTTCCATATATGGTACTTAATAATCCGTTCTGGTGGGATGACATGCGTCAAGGAAGAGAGTTCGCAGGGCGGGGTGTCAGAATCCCAGACCTTCCCAGGCAGCTCCCGCCCGGCCTCACCCGCAACCCGGCAATGCACCAACATCCCGGCTCTGAAGTGACTGAGAGCTTCTTTCTTCCGATTGGACTCTCTCTGTGTCAATCCTCTCCTAGAACTCGGCTGTCCGTTGGAACCGCCCTTGGAGGCGGGGCTCCCGCCTAGGAAGCGGGAGGGTAGGTGGAGAGGGTGGAGAGTTGGAGAGGATGAATCTCCACCCCTCTGGGCACAGAGGCTCCTCCCACCATTCCCATAGGTCAAGATGTCCGTCCATCAAGGCCTGGAACGGGTTGGAGTGGGTGCGACATCCTGGAGGGCGGCATCGTCTGTCCAGGCTCCTCCTCGCCTCGGAGGCGGTGCTGGGCGCGGAATGGGCTGGCGGCTGAGAGGGCGGGGCGTGGCGGGAAGGCGGTGGGGCTGGGTGCGGTGAGGCGCGCAGATCACCGCGGTTCCTGGGCAGGGCACCGAAGACTGAGCCAGGCTGACCTGCTGGAGCTCCCGCCTCGCGCGCTCGCCCCACTCCGCCGTCGCCCGAGCGCTCGAGAAAGCCTTCTCGGGAGAAGCAGCGCCTGTTCCCCGGGGCACATCCAGGTTCAGGTAAGTGAGCCTCATCAGCCTGTCCCGACAGGGGCAGGCGGGCGGGGACGGCGGGGACGGGACGCGCGGCGTCTGGGGCAAGGCGGGCCGACGTGTAGTTCTCGGCCCCGGCGTGGCCGGCGACAGGCGCGGGCGGGCGGGAACGCTGCGGGGCCGGGCGGGGATACCGCATCCTTCCTGAGGGGCACCGGGACCCCTACGCGGATGCTCCGGGAAGGCGCCGCTGGAAGCGCGGCCTCGGGGAGCAGAGGAAACGCTTCGTGGCCAGCGCTCCCCGGAAACCCTTCATCTTCCCCAACCCCCACCCCTGCCCAGCGCACTCTCGCGGCGGGGCACCCGGGAGCCTCGACCTCCCCCTGCTGCCGGGGCGCGCGCCCCGCCCTCGCCTCGCCCAGTGCCCAAGTTGGGCAAACTTTTTAACCCCTTCCGGGGAGCCGGTGTGTCCATTGGACCCAGAGGGATGAGGACCAGGTGGGGGGCCCGGGGCTGCGGTTCCTTTGGAAGTTTCTAGGCCTTTTCGAAAAGGAGGTAACGGGCAGGCGGGGACCGTTGGGCAGCTGTCAGGGCGTCCTCCTGAGTCAGAATCGGGCCACCCTGCCGCAGACATTGCTCTCGGCTCGGTTTCCGCCCTCCGCGCGCGACTTCCTCATTCGCCCGGCTGCGAGCGGGCTGGCGGAGGAGGGGACCCGCGAGGTGCGAGTGGGCACGTGGAAAAGAGGGACAAGGCGGGCACCGGGTTGCGAGGCAGCAAAGACTTCCCTGCTCTCCAGTAGCCCCTCGGCCTTTGACTTGGGACTTCCTCCTGGGAGAGGAAGGCCCGGGAGTGCCCGCAGCCCTCCGTGCCGCCCAGGCGCGCACCTGATGCCGCCGCACCTGGGGGGTCTGGGTCCTGTGCCTTTAGGACTAGGCAGGCCCGGGCTATTAATCGTTCCTTTGTGGGTCAGATCCGGGGTTTTCTACACCCCTCCCAACCCCCTCGTCCCTGTGCAGGGAGGGGTCTTCACCCCATCCAGCCCTGGGACCACGCCCAGGGCAGGACCGTATCCCTCTTCTGTCCCTCGCCCCTCGAAGCCCCTCGAAACGGACTGTCCTCCAGGACAAGGCTGCTGGCTGTCTTGAAGTGGCGGCGGGGTGAGTGCCAGGGCTGCTGTCTGCGGCCCCACCCAGCCCCCACCCAGGTCCTGGAGACCGGCGGCTTCCGTCGCAGGGCCACTTCTCCGTCCACCGCTCTCTTCTGGGTTTGACAAGATTTCAAAGTAACTGTTGAGTAACTGGGGAAGGGGAAGAGCTTTAGCTCCTTCCTGCGGCACTGTGACCATTTCTGATTTCACTGTCCGAGGCCCGCCTGCTAACTCACCTGGTGGTTTATTACCTGTTTGGTAAGGAGAGAGGCCGCTTTAAGGCTTGTTTGGCCAATCACTCGATTAATGTTAGTTTATATTCAAGGCTGCTAGTGGTCGGGTGGGGGAGGGTACACAGATGTGTAATTGAGCAAATATTTAACTGGCTTCTGTGTGCCAGGGACTCTGCCAGGTGGTGGGGGATGTGAGGTTGAGTAAGACCTGGTCCCTGCCCTTGGGCACTTAGGGGAGCGCTGAGACAAATCCGTAGATGACTCCAGTGTGAGGCGAGGATGACAGAGACCCCAGAAAGGTGCTGTGAGTCATGGGGATTGGGAGAAAGGAGCCATCCCTTCCTGGGGAGATCCTTAGGCCTCTGCCTTTGAGGAGTTTACAGTCCTCAAGAGGAAATAGTGGCCCAGTGACTGAAATACAAAGGCAGCCTCTGATGCGTGTCGCAAGCATGCCATAGACAAAGGACTCCAGGAATTCCGAGAGGGGCCACTTCTGTCTGGGGCCAGGAGGGAAGCTGCCTGGAGGAGGGAGCACATTGCAGGTTTGCAGAACGGAGGACAAGCACTGGGTGTTGGAAAGTGAGGACTCATTTAGTGGGTAATTGAGGGGTAATTAAAAGCGTCAAGAGATTGCTCAGTGTAATTTGAGAGCCGCCGTGCCCCCCACATGGCTGCGGGGTGACACCAAAGAGCTCTACTCTTCACATTCAGCAAGTCCTGGCAGTGCCTGTGGGCAGGTCCAGGTGCTGGCAGATGCAGGCGCCCGGATTGGCAGGCTCTGCTCGGGGAAGGGCCGCCCGAGAGGTGCGTTCAGTGGGGCTGCCTGTCTGAAGGGCACGCGACGAGAGAGGAAACAGAGGGTCAGGGCCTTGGAATTCTGATTTTTATTTTTAAACTTTTAACCTCAGGGTTGGAGATGGGACAACTTCCCTCTTGCAGGATGAAGGATGCATGTTAATCACAGCCTGCCTGTCGCCTGTTCTTGCTCCAGAAAAAACAAAACAAGGATCTGTTAGCTTTTTAAAAGGAGAGAAGCACACTCGAAAAATGCAGCATTGTTGTGTAGCCTGGTAGGGTATTGCTAGCAGCCAGGCTGGCCTGTGCTTTCTTCATTTCCTCTTTGTCGCTAATCCTGCAGTAAAGTACTTAAGACAGCCCTTACCAGCTTGACATCTTATTTCAAAAGGAGAGGAGGGGTTGGCGGTTGTTTTCCTCAGAGGCAGGGCCCTACCCTTCTCTTGGGGGAGAAAGAAACCCAAAGCAAAGGAAAAAGAAAAAAAAAAATCCAAGCCTTAGCAGCTTCCTCTCAAGCATCATGTTCCAGAAATATTTAGAATAACAAAATCTGTGTGTCCTCCTAATTAAACAAACGTCCTAATTTGCTGAGCACAACACAGCATCTCTGCCTCAGGGGCAGGAAGTGCTTTTTCTCTTTGTGCAGTCCCAGAGTCCCTGACTCTCCACCCGGGCCTTAACCCTTGGTGCGCTGAGCCCCTGGGCGCAGGTTTTCTGGCGACGACAGGATGGAGCCCTCCTGTGACTGACGGCGTTCCCACTCTCCGAGCTGGGAGTTGTGTGGTTGTGAGTTTTGGAACAGGATTCCCGTCCTGAACCTGCCAGGTACTAGCTCTGTGACTTTAGACAAGTCACATAACCTGCGTGGGAATCAGGACTTCTACCGTGCAGGGTTAGAAGTGAGAGTTAAAACACATAAGGTACGTAAAGGGCCCATGTAAGGAATGTAAAGTGGCTTTGTGAAGCTTTTCAGAAAATACATAATTGTTCAGTCTTAATTCCCTGGGCTGTCAGGGTTGGAAAGAGACGAGGAGGGGTAGATGGTTTTCCTGGCTCCTGGCTCAGTGCTCTTTGTACTTCTGAGAAGGTGTGTGAGTGTGTGCGTATGTGTGTGTGCAGCACTGTGAAACCTAAGTGGTAAAACTGCAGGTGGTTCTGGGGCCTGTCTGCTGATGCTTTCAGATGCACTTGGTCATGCACTTGTGCTGGGCAGTCTCATTTCAGTCAGGGCCCTGGCCTGGGCAGGAGATGCGTGGACTAACTGCAGTTTTAACTCTAAAACACGGTTTCCCATGATCTGGGATGTAACCAAGGCTGGCACAGGAAGAACCTTGGGTGTCTGGAGACCTGGCTTCTAGCCGTACCTGCGAGAACATTTGATGTTGGTCGAAAGTGCCCTTATCATCTACAAAGACATCACACTGGTTTACGAGACTGCTGATTATGCACAAGAGGGCTGGGGGACTGAAAAATCCATTAATTTTAATTTCTCCAAGATGGTTCAGTTTCTTAGGCACTCTCATGCCCTATCGATGGGAGCATGAGTTGTAACCATTCGCCTTTTTGAAGGTAGTTTGGCTGTGTCTGTCCAAGGCTAGTCAGTCCTTCTGTCTGAATTCTAGGAATGCACCCCACAGACAAACTCATGTGCAAAAGGAAATGTCCGTGATAGTGTTTGCAGCATAACCATAGACGGAGACGGGAAGCAGGGTCACTGTCCATTCGAAGGGTCGAATAAATCCTGACACAGCTGTGCAGCGGCAGCCCTTGCAGCCTGTTAAGAAATGAAGCTGGTCTGTCTGGACGGAGAGGCCGTGCTCTCCGGGATATATTACAAGTGGAAAAGCTAGAGAGACGACAAGTATGCATGGTGGTCCCTCCGTGTGAAACGTGCTGGGTCGCTTTGGCCTGGTGCCTGGGAAGACACGGAGACTTTGGTCATGGTGGTTGCCTCTTCTGGGGACCCAGGAAGTACAGTGGGGGGTGGGTATTCCTTTTCATTAAATGCCTTTTTATGTATATGGCCCTTAAATCATCACAAATTTAAACTTCTCTTATCTTTATTACCTATACAAATAAGGGGGTTGGCCGGCCAGTCTTGTAGGTCTCAGCTTTAAAATGCATTGCTCCAGATTCCAAGTTTCACACTGAGTGCCTACTGTGTGCGAGGCAGGAGGGAAGGTTTTAAAAATGGACTGACTTGCTGTTGTGGTTGGAACATTTCTGGGTCCTGTTTTCTTCTCCATGATGTCACATTGTCACCAGAGTAACCCCTTAAACAAATGTCTACTCTGATCCACTCCCTCCTAGCCTGGAAAATGGTAGATGATTGCTTTTTCTTTGCTGGACGAGAAAAGGAACCCCCACAGTATGTGTCTGGAAAGTATTTCAGCGTAACCTTTTGCCAGATTCCCCACAGTTCCCTTGGCACCCAGTCACCTGGGGTCCTTTCCTGGGGAGTCCACCCTGACCAGAAGTCTACACCAGGCCTTTATTCTCTTGGGTCCTCTAAACTTGGGGTCATTGCAGCCACTAACGTGCCCCTTCCTACTCCTTCCCCAGTTATCCCCCAGGCATCTGCTGTATTAACAGTGGAAAAGCCCACATTCCTGGAAATGGGATTAGAAGGGTGCTTCGAACCCCATCCCCTTCTCAATGAGGAGCATCTTGGTCTTGCGTGGTGTGGGTTTTGGAGAGGCTGCCGGCTCTGCTTGCTGCCGGTTCTTTTCCGTGGCAAAGGTGGCGGAAGACCCCTTCAGGGTCTTGGCCAGGCCTGTGTCCCTGCCAGGCAGCCTCTGGGCCTCCTGGAGGAACGGCATGAGTCACACGAGTGTAGAGAATGAGCCTGGGT